ATGTAGCGGGTTTCTAGCGTATAAGAGCCATAAGTCCATGTAGACCATGGAGGCTCTATTTTAAGATGTTTAAGTTTCAGCATGATGTGATTTCATATTCGACTCTAGAATTGAGCCTAGGATTTACTCTCGAGTTAAAGGACTATGAACTCTGGTTAAGTTGGGAGTTTTGAACTGTAGTTGAAGTTGAGTAAAGTTCTGACTCTAGAGGTTACTTCAGTTTAGTTCGGCAAAGAGCCTTCAAGCAAGTATATGTAGCGGTTTTCTAGCGTTTAAGAGCCATAAGTCCATGTAGACCATGGAGGCTTGAAACTGGGCCATGGTAAACATATATGAGGTGATTTTTCCCGACCAGAAGAAGAAAAGTTAAGAGGTTGTAGTAAAGAGACGAAAGCAAGGATCGTTCGCGAGTTATCTTGACGAAAAGAACATCTTAAGAAAGAGAAATCGACAAGGATTGTTGGCGAATGTTTTCTGGAGCTCTAAGAAGCGATAGCCAACAGAAGAAGTCCAATTTTTATGAGAGTATCAAAACGAGTGGAACAAATTGACAGAAGCTCCAGTGGAAGTGTGGTGTAATCCACAATCGATTTGGTACAAAGAGCAGAAGCAAGTACCTCGAGCACTTTACTGCTTGACACCAAGGGAGTCGTAAGAACAAGAGAGTTGGTACGGTTGCAGCTCTCGAGGTTAGCCTAGCCTCGGGAAAAATGATAGTCACTGATTCCCTTGTGAAAAATCTAAACGTTAGCATACGAGAAAAAGACTTGAGCTGATGCCTACATGATCGACATGAAGGATTTCGACGTCATTCTCGGGATGGACTGGCTGAGCAAGTACCGAAAGGACATCGAGTGTCATGATTGTGAGGTAACGTTGTACCTAGAGGGAGAAGAGAAGATCATTCTCTATGGGGCGAGAGAGAGAGAGAGAGCAGTAGCGAAGGTGATTTCCACGTTGAGGGCTATGAAAAGCTTGAAAAATGAGGGTAGCCAAGGATACTTGGTGAATATCGTCAAGAGTGAGAAGAAGAAGCCATCACCAGAGGACGTGTCGATTGTTCGTGAGTACTTAGAGGTCTTTCCAGAGAGCTGCCAGGAGGGCCACCTGAAAGACAAGTCGAGTTCACAATCGACTTGGTACCGGGAGCGGGTATAGTGTCCATGGCACCATTCCGAATGGCACCTAAGGAGCTACAGGAGCTGCAGACGCAGATTTAAGAGATTTTAAACCTCAGTTTTATTCGACCAAGCGTATCACCGTGGGGAGCACCGGTATTTTTTATGAAGAATAAGGATGGCTTGATGAGGATGTGCATCGACTACATGAGCTCAACATACTGATGGTGAAGAACAAGTGCCCACTGCCGAAAATTGAGGACATGTTCGATAAACTGAGGGGAGCTAGTGTTTTCTCAAATATCGATTTGAGATTTGGCTAGCACCAGTTAAAGATCAAGGATTCCAACGTGTCTAAGATGGCATTCTAAACTCGGTTTGGTCACTACGAGTTCATGGCGATGCCATTCGGATTGAGTAACGCGCCAGTCGTGTTCATGGACCTCATGAATTGAGTGTTCCATCCAAGCTTGGACAAGTTTGTTTTCGTGTTCATCGATGACATATTGGTCTATTTGAGAGATGCTGAACAACCCCAGGAGCATCTTAAGCTGCTGCTAGAGACGCTTCGACGAGAGAATCTTTATGTAAAATTTTTTAAATGTGAATTCTATCCAAGGGGATATAAGTAGACCTGGCAAAGATAGAGGCAGTGAGTAACTGGGAGGTCCTGGGAATGCGAGTGAGATCTGCAGTTTCTTGGGTCTAGCTTGGTACTATCGGAGGTTCATCGAGAGCTTCTCAAAGATAGCCCAACTGTTGACTCAGTTGACAAGGAAAGCTGTGAAGTTAGTCTGGAGTCTACAGTGAGAGGCCAGTTTCTATGAGCTAAAGGCGAGACTGACTATCGCACCGATGTTGACTATTCCCGATCCTACTTTTGAGTTCACGATCTATTGTGACGCTTCAAAGCAAGGTTTGGAGTGTGTATTGATTCAACAAGAGATTGTCGTGGCTTATGCGTCGAGGCAATTAAAGCAGACGAGATGAATTATCCAACATACGACCTGGAGTTATCTACTATGGTCCATGTGATGAAGATTTGGAAACACTACTTCTATAGAGGGAAATGCGAGATCTTCACGAACCACAAGAGTCTGAAATATATGTTCACGCAGAAGGAGATGAACATGAGGCTGTGAAGATGGCTGGAGCTCGTCAAGGACTACGATTGCACGATTAGCTACCATCATGGGAAAGCTAATGTGGTAGCCGATGCTCTTAGTCGGAAGGGTCGAGTCGATCTTGCCTCTATGATCACTCAGCAAGATCAGCTGATTCGGGAGTTTGCTCGGTTAGAGATCGAGGTAGTGGAGCCAGTCGGGAGTTTGTTCGGTTAGAGATCGAGGTAGTGGAGCCATCTTCCAGAGCCAGTGGTATTCTAGCATCATTGGTTATGGAACTGACTCTACGAGAGAGGATCGTAGCCGAGCAGCAGAGTGTTGAGACGTCCTCTAGTTATTTCCAAACGTAGAGTATATACTGATGAAGAAGCCCCAACAATTTGCCTTTAAAATATGAAATTTTGGACTTTTTCCCTCACCTCATCTATTTCTTCTTGGTTTTCGTGCCAAGGAAGGATAGGGAGCAAGTTTTCAGACCTTGTCTGATAATAATTCGTGGTCAAAGCTCCACTTGACATAGAAAAATGGCTGAAAGTATGTTGGGCCTCGGATGGGCCCTGGCTGGGCGCTGGGCCGGGTGCTACATTTCACTGACAGGCCACGCTGGCTGCACTGGCGGGCTGCGTGCGCGGAAACAAGCTGCAGCGATTATTGGGCTGCTGCTCAAGAGTAGGCTGGATCGTGCAAGCAGGGCTATGATACTGGCTAATGAGTGAGGATGAAAGTTGGGCCGAGTGAGGATGAAAGTTGCGCCGAGTGATGTGTTGGGCATGACTTGGGTTGCGCACAGTTGTTGGGCCGCGTGGGATTTCTCGGGCCGTGCTGGGCTGCGCTACGACCACGCGTGCGGGAGCAGGCTGCAGCAGATGCTGTGCCACAGGGCTGAAGGCCTGCTGACCGAGCTCAAGTGTTAGGTCGAGGCTGTGCAAGAGTTTGGACCGAGTGGTGTTGTTAGCGCACTAGGGCTGTGCAAGGGCGCTTAACCATGGCTTGGGCAGAATTTGACTCGACTTTGGATTAGGGCTCGATTTTTCTATAATTGCTCGAGTACACTTGGACTCAATTCTCATTGCGCTTCATATTAATTATTCTCGACTCATGAAGGAAAATTGAACCGACAGTTGAACTAAAAATATGTTTGGCTTCGAGATAAAATCTCGTTCGAATAATTCTTAATTTAAACTTGAACTTGGAACTTATGAACTGAACAACTTACCCTTGGAAGCTAAAAATTAAAGTATTTATTAATAAAGATTAGCTTACACTCGGAAGCTAATGTCGCTTTGTTATTAATAAAATACTGGGATGTTACAGACCGCATGCAGTAGTGGCACGCGCGATCCAAGTTTGCGACTACGGCAATGATCTGGGATCCAACTCGACAACTAAGCACGAAAGTACAAAAATGAACGTGGGCTAGAGGACGCAACTCAAAACCATTCGTCCAGCCCTGTAAGTTGTGTAAGTCGTCTCAGAGTCAATAAATTTTAACCGTAAGTCCTGATCTTAACTACAGATTCTAGTGCATTAGCATTTATTTAAAATAGATATGGATGTGTACATCTTCGACATTTCTCATAGAACCTAGCAACCGCTGCATGTGTGGTGTCGATCTGTAGAAGAATCTGGCTCAAGATCCAAGCGTGTAAAGTAGATTAGACATTTCTGAAATTTTACGTCACCCAAGATTGGCTCACAATGAATTTATTGCAAAAATGGATGAGTTCAAAATATAACAATTAGCTCCATGAACTAGACTGTGTAGTTAGCTCGGGTATGATCGGTTCAACGAAGCTTTGGCTCGATATCAGGGATTGACCTCGTCTGGGAGCTCAGTGGGGGAGCTCAAGGTATGAGTCGACCTAAATGAAGAAGCAAGGAGCCGAACTCCTCAGGGAGCTCATATGTATGAGGGGTCAATATGACCTTCAGGTAGTAGAGGTGAAGGTCGTGGTTTTGACCTGGTAAGCACTTGCAGCAGATGAGTCAAGAGGTCGCTGAAACGGCCTAAGGACCTAAGAGTCGTGTTAAGAGGGAACAGAATCCTAGTAAGGATGGTTAATATATCTCGCTTAAGAATCTAAGATCTCAGAGACGTATTATACTAAGAAAGGAGATACGGTAGGGTCTCTTTACATAAACGCATATTACGGCATTAGCTTATTCACGAGCGAGATCTAACCTGAGCGTCGGAGGTGTTCCTCTAAGACCTCCCCGACTTGTTTTGCAGGTAACTAGAGCTCAAGACGAAAGACCATTCGTAGTGATATGCAGGTCTAAAAACACTCTGAAGGCAATTTGCGCATCATTATTGCCTCGCAAATTATTCAAAAATTGAAAATCATATTCATCCGTTATTTTAAAGTTTTTGTCTCAAAAAATAAATTTTTTACCATTTGAAGTAGAATTTGACTGGTTTAAATGATGGTTTAGCAAAATGTAAAACTATATCAAATAATTCAAGAGGTATATATATTTTATATTAATACAAAATTGATACGTTTCTTTCAAAAAAATTGAAAAATTAATTTTAGAATCCATTATTTGGTGTAGGTTATAATATACCCTTAACTCTATCACGTAATTCATAGCTTATTATTTATTCTTTAGATGGTTGTATCATATTCCCACATACAACGTTGAGGCTTCAAATGAAATCTTTGGGTGTACCACATAGGCTTCAACATTCAATATTTTAATTTGTTTGTAGCATAAATTTTTACATTGTATGAATGGGAAATATCAACAAGACAGTGGCTCAGAGTAACATGTTCAACGCTTGTTCCTTGTCTGTGGTCCAGACGATGATAACATGTTTCCGCTTAACCGTCCATCGAAAATAGACAATAAAAAACAGGCGCAAAACAACACTACCAATACCACATAACCAGGGCCGTCTCCAACATTTTTTGGGCCCAGAGCGAAAAATAAAATTAGGCCCCCCTAATTACAATATTGAATAATATATTTTTAATATTTTATTAATAAAATACAAATATTTAATGATACAACTAAAACAAGATGTCCTCGTACCCACAAAGTACAACAAAAACAAGATTAATGTTCTAACATGAATGTTATTTAAAAAATCTCGTCCTTCTAGCATTCTTTGAAGCGAATTCATCAATCAAATCCTCATAAGAAACTTTGTCCAAAATCTCATTTTCGATTGCCACGATTGCAAGTCCATTAAGCCTTTCCTGTGACATAGAACTGCGCAAATAAGATTTAAGCAACTTTAACTTTGAAAAACTTCTTTCAGCTGTTGCAACTGTTACAGGAATGGTTAACAATATCCTATATGCAATAATTGCATTAGGAAAACAATCAACTCGTTTCAAAAATTGTAAAATATCAAAAGCTCCCAAATTTTCTTTATGCAAAAACTCTTTAAGCATTTTTAACTCTACATATAAATCATAACCATTAATATCACATTTATCACCACTTTTGAGTGTATCTTCCAAATGACTACAATAAGACCTTAAACTCGAATCATCCAATGAATGCAATTTATCAGAAGAAAATAGAAAACCAAACACATTTTCATATTTTTAATATTGTTCAAATCTCTTATCAAGTGAGACAATGGCTTGATCAATAATACAATTGAAATAGTTAATTCTAAAACACTCTTCAGCACATTGTGGAATCTCATCATCAAAATTCTCATCAAATTGTCTTTTTCTTTTAATTTGACGCTTTTGAGGAAATATTGGATCAATTTCCATGTCAATTGCAAGTTTTCGAGCAACTTCAAGAGCATTAGTAAAACCATTTTCTCTATATTCTTTAAAATATGAAATCAATTTTTTCCCATTTTCAATGGCACCAGAAATAAGCATATCTTTTGATTGTAATTTTTTGCTAACTAAATTAACAACATATAACAAGTCATACCATATAACAATGGCCACAATAAACTCAAAATCGCCAAGCTCATTATTCGCTAAAGATTTCGCTTCACTTCTTATTTTCGAGTCATTATCAATTTCGGCAACCTCAAGCAAAGCTTCTCTTATATTTGAGATTTGAAATCTTATTGCCTTTACACTATCAACACGACTTTCCCAACGAGTAGAAGACAATGATTTAGGAGTTAGTTCTTTCACATTATTCTTTAAAATATGCCATCTTTTTGTTGAATTTGCAAATATAGTGTAAATGCGTTGGATTATTCCAAAAAAATCCCTAGCTTTTCCAAAATTATTAGCCATATCACACAACATTAAATTAAGACTATGAGAACCGCAAGGAGTGTAAAAGGCTCTAGGATTCAAATCCAAAAGCTTTCTTTGAACACCATTATTCTTTCCTTTCATATTTGATCCATTATCATAACTTTGTCCACGCACATCATTTATATCAAGTTCAAGAGCATTTAATTTATCCAACAACACATCAAAAAGCCCTTGTCCAGTTGTATCATTCACATTCAAAAATCCTAAAAATGATTCTTCAATACACACAGAATTAGAAGAAAAATTCACATATCTTAAAATTAAAGACATTTGCTCCAGGTGGCTCACGTCAGGTGTACAATCAAGTATCACAGAAAAATATTTGGCCTCTTTTATTTTGTTAATGATTTCAGATTTAATTGCACAAGCAAGCAAAAGAATCAACTCATTTTGAATATTATGACCAAGGTAATGAATATGAATATCATCATTAGTAATACGACGAACATGCTCTTGGATAATAGGATCAAACTCAGCTAACATCTCAATTAATCCCAAAAAATTTCCATTGCCATTTTGATGCAATTTTTCATTAGTGCCTCGAAATGCTAGGTTATGTTTACCAAGAAACTTCACAATTGAAATAATTCTCAACAAGACACTTTTCCAATGCTCCTTTTCTTTCTCAAGTTGTTTTTGAGCCACTTTGTCAATAGTTATATTTTTTCTAAGTCGTAAGCGCAAATCATACCATGTGGCCATATTTTGAACATGCTCCATACTAATTTCATGCTCCCTAATTCTAACACAAAGATGTGCCCAATCACTAAAACCTTCATTTGCTAGTTGACCTTTACCACATCCTTTTCTAAATAATTTACAACAAAAGCAAAAAACCTTATCAAGTTCTTTTGAATATATGAGCCAATCTCTATCACATTTTTCCCCATTTGGTAGAACTCTAGTGTAGAATGAATTAGAAAATTGTCTTCCAAATTTATCCTTAACTCCTTTTATAATAGATAAGTCTCTTTTAGGACCATTTACTTCTAATATATCAATCATCTGAGAGTCCAAACCATCCCATGTCCTTGGATCAAATATGTCAAGCTTATGATATGCAACATCATCAACATGGTCACTATTAGAAGGCATAACAACATCATCAACATGCTCATCATTAGAAAGCATAGCAACATCATCAACATGTTCATCATTAGAAGGCATAACAACATCAACAACTGGTTCAACATTGAAATGCATAATATCATCATCAAAAGATAGGAGCAACACAAACTGATTTTGGGGCCAAATGATTTCAAAATCAATTTGTTTTCCAATTTTTGGGACTTTAGTCTTGTTCTCAATAATGGCAAATCTGTTAAATAAAAAATGCACAAACAAATTAACAAAAATTGGTAATATATTATATATCTGATATCTCATCTATAAAAAATAAAAAAAAAAAAGTTTAGACATACCTCTCTGGCAGCCTGGGGGAAGCCGGAAAGCAAAAGAATGAAGAATCGAAAATAATTAGGAGAGAATGATTGAATGAAATTATCAATTTGAAAGTTGCTGTTGGATTTCTCAATTGCTCGAAAGGCTTGAAGGAATGCCATTTGCATCAAGAATATAAGAATTAAAAGACAGAACCGTTGGAAAATAAATAATAATTTTCCATCTTGAATACTGTAAAAGTTATATATATAATATTTTAATATTTATATATGGGGCCCCAATTAATTGGGGGCCCTGTGCAGTTGCTCACTCTGCTCCCCCTAAAAGCCGGCTCTGCACATAACACAATTATAAAATATAGTAAGATTATTGTTAAACAGACTCCGTTAAATAATCATACATTTTTTATGTATATACATAATTTTAAATTGAAATATTATACTCTTAAAATAATATATATATAATTTTGACATCACAATACAATTATATATATTTGTCACAAAAATATGACAGAACAACCTAGTTAATGAATAATCCACATCACCCAAAAATAAGCGTAAAAAATAAAATTATTATAGTGACAAATTATATGAGGGAGTATGGACTAACACGGTCTTGATTTGAAACATCATAGGAAAAATAAAAAGTAAAAAATAATAATTAAATTTAAAATAAAATCAATGCCATGAAAAACATGTGCAACGTTACGTGACAAATTTATCTTCCCCAACTGAGACAAGTAATAACAGGAAAAAGATGCCTCACACGGTCCCACCCGCACACTAATCATGATTACATTGTCTGTTAGTCTGTTAAGCTAACAAGTTTTAAATAGAGCCTGAATTTTTGTTATAATTTCGCGTCTCATCTTGAATTTTTGTTATTGTGTTACTTGAATTTTTAAATTTATATTTATATAAAAAAGTTTGATTATTTTTTAAATAATAATTATTTCCCTCTAAAAAAATCTATTTACTATTTCAGGAAATTAATTTAACAATTTATCGTATATTTTCAATAATCACTTATAGAAATTGCGGTTCATTATTTAATAAAATAATTAATCCATATAAATATTTATTTTTTAAGATACCTTAATTAATCAAATTAATTTAACAATTTATGGTATATTTTAGATAATCACTTGTGGTAAATTCATTTTTAAGATACCTTAATTACTCAAGTCACGTGAATTAGCAGATTTACACAAATATAAGAATTTTCGCTGCAATATCAATTATGTGTTTTGGTAAAAAAAAAAAACTAACTAAATTGTATAATTTATTGTTTAATAACTGTTTTATATTTTTCGTGAAATTCTTTTGTGAAATACATTTTTAATATATCTTAATTACGCAAATTGTATAAATCCGACTGATTTATTCAATCTGTAAATAATTACTACAATTATAGAAATATCGACAACAGAAATTGGTTATGCAGTTTGCAAAAACTGTTCTAAAAGAATGTGGTAATGATAATTTTTATTTATATATTATTTAATAAATGTTATTCATCTTTTCTATATTTAATTGCTCAGATCGTGGATAATTAAGTAAATAATTAGACAATAAAGATTTACATTCTTAAGATACCCTAATTACGCAGATCCTGTAAGTTCGGTTGATTTATTCAATTATAGTTTCTTATAAAACTATTCTAAAATAATTATGTCAATGGCAATTTCTATTTAATTATTTTTGAATAACTATTTTTGGGTCATTTTTTATTCTTATCTATAATAAATGCGAGTCTTGATTTTGTTTTGTATGCTGGAAAATTAATTTCGTGGTTAAATTGAATATCATTTTTTATATTTTATCTAATCGATGAAATCAAATTATTTGGTATACTATATATTGATCTCATATACCCGCTTATGGTAATAAATGGTATCTCAATATTTTCATTTTGGCAAAATTGCATATAATATCACGACCTTTATCGCGATTGCAAATCAATCACGACTTTTCGACTTTTGCACAGAATTTCTTGCAAAACGATACACGGACCTCATCACCTGTTCAAAAAAATCTGACGTGGCGAACAAAAAGACACCTCAATTGCTGAGTTGTATTTACCATCCGTTTTTTTTTTCTACCTCACCAAGAAACGACGTCGTTTCGTAAGACTACCACTAGGGAAATCAAAGCAGCAAATCCATCAACTGGCGTGGTAAATCGGTTTATTTATCCACCTCACCCAGAAATGACGTCGTTTCTTGATCAATTGCATTTTAAATTCGAAATCAGATTCATTTCAGAAGAACTCTAAATTGACGAGCTGAGGAAGAACCCTAGAAGAAATGCTCTGAGGAAGAACCATAGAAGAAATTGGGTTGCTCAATTAACTATGTCGACTGATTCCACCTTATATAGGAAGACAAGTTCGGCAACAACATTCCCGACTTCAGCAGTTTTGAAATTAACATGTCGACATTTAGAAGAGCTCGATCTTCTCACCTCTCATACTGATCTGAATCCGGCTAGGAGGTACTACCGGTGCAAATATCGAATGGTAGGTGAAGTGTAATTTGTGTTTGTATGTTCAACAAACTGAATGAGGATCTTCTTAGTGATGAACAAATTTATGTTTTTGTTACATAATTTTGCAAATTCTGAAGTTAATATTGAAGTTTTGAAGTGAAAACTTTCAATTGTTTTTGCAAATTTTTCTTACAGAATTTTGAAGTTTCTGTTAAATTTAATACTTTTGTTCATTGCACATTACAGGATGATGATTGTAAATTTTTTCGTTGGTTTGATCCCGAGCTCCCACCTTTCCAGAAAGCTAGTTATTTGAAGTTGAAAGGTCAAGTTCAAGTGTTGGAGGAACAATTGAAATGCAAAATGGTGATAGAGAAACTTTTGTCTGAAAGATTAGAAGTGAAAGCCAATGAGTTGGATCTGTTGAAAATGGAAAATGTTGAACTTCATAAAAAACTTGCAAGAGGGAAAAAAACTGACAAGAAGTGGCTGATTTTAGTCATTATGTCTTTGTTTGCCATGTGGTTCTTTGGTGTGTCTAATGAGAAGACGTTAATGCTTAGCTAGCTTTGAACAAGGAAATTATGTTTGTTTTTATATGTTGTTCAATGTTGATGAGAAGATGGTAATCTTTTAGCTATCTTTGTTGTTGTTTTTTTGTAGCTTTGTATGCTTAGCTAGACAAAGCTGGTTTATGTAGCGTTTGTTTGTACCAAGAACAAGGTTCTATTTGCAATGAGCAAGTTTATGGTTGTTCAATGAACATGATTTTAGTTGTTCCAAGCTGCTGTGGTTTTGTTTGCAATAAGCAAGATTTTGATTGTTCAATGAACATTATTTCTTGAATAAAACATCATGATTGTCATTGTTTGTTTGACTGTAATACCATATAGAACAAGACCATTACATAATACTATAAAACATAAGAACATACACAAACAATATCAATATGAAGCAATTTTGATCCATTATGTTGCAAAACTAGGCCAAAATACAAACATAATGTCTGAACATCCACAAGCACATGTCCACAACCATGAATTTCTTCACATCCACATGTCCACAAAAACATAAACTGATACCCATTAACGTATTATAGTACTTGTATGCTTTTAGCCAGAATCTTATTAAAAACGGTAGGTAGGAGCATAAACTGAAACATTCTGGAGCTACAAAGATAGTTATTAAATCGTTAGCACCACATAAAAACATTCCTCCTAGAGTAGTTCTTAATAGGAATAAGAGAAACTCTAAACATAAAAGAAAAATGATTAGATGTTTTGACCCGGAAAAAATAAAATGAGTTCGGATAGGCATTTTGGATGCTGCTATTAAAATAGCTCTTCTAGCTATATGTTCGTTCAAATCAATATGTCCACAAACACATCAATACACACAACCTTTTCACTACAAAAGAAATACATGTAACTTGTTCACAACCACATGTCCACAACAAAATGTTTCTGTCACTTTTTGGCAACACTTTCTTGAGTTCCCATAGCATCCACAGCTTCCAATTCCTTGTTTTGAGATTTCTTTTGAACTCTATTTTGTCTAAGCATCTGTCATTGAAATTTCAAACATATATATCAAAAAATTTCAGGCAATAGAAAATTTGAAAGACAATTAATGAGACATGAATGTATCAAAGTACCAATGCTTTCTTTTTTCTAGCTACAAGGGCATGGGAAGTTACACCAGATTGTTCCCTTTCCTCTGTGCATTCTCTCATGTTCTTTGGTCTACCTCTAGGCCTCTGAAATTTACAAGTTTATAAAATTTCCAAAAATTTGAAAATATATAAAAAAAAACTTTAGCTGTCACCTTAGCAATAGATTCACTTCTACCTGCCCCTGTGCTTTCTCTCATCATCCTTGGTCTACCTCTAGGTCTCTAAAATTGACAGGTTTGTTCACAAATTCAGATACTATAAAAACATATAATGCCTAAAAACAAAATATTCCTTAGCAGGTTTTGGAGTTGGGTCATTGGTGCAAGTCTTCTTGTTGTGGCCAACTTGTAAACATCTTTGACATGTCATTTGCAAGCCAAACCTCTTCAGCCTTGAGCTTGTCTTGGCCTCTTCTTCAGGTGTTTTTTTCCTATTGATCTTGGGCCTACCTGGCATTCTCCTGAATGGTGGGGGCTTGATAGGATTCCCTGAAGCCTCTGGCCACATCCTCTTCCCATTAAGGGGCTCCATGGGGAATGAGTATGATGCAATGAGCCTTTCACAACTATATACAGGGGTACAAAATCTGTGGCATCCTTTTTCAACCAGTGAATAGCTGAGCATGCATGGACACAAGGTATACCACTTATGTCCCATTGCCTACATGTGCAGCTCCCATCTCCCAAATCAACAACAAATTGGTCTTCAAATTCTGTGACCTGGTATTTGTTTCCTAGAGCATGTTTGGTGACACACAACCTACTTTTGTACTTAGTTTCCTCTACTTTTTTCCTGATCTAGGGCAAATTATATTACTGAGACCACTTATGAACTTGTCTTTCCATCACATAGGTTCTTATCATTTCAAGCATTTGAACAATAGGCTTTTTCCTAGCCCTAACAATGGTGCTATTGAAGGTCTCACATACATTAATTAGCACCATGTCGCATTTAGGATGTACTGAGATTAAGGCCTTACAAAATCTGAAATTGTCTTGCTCAATGAACTTGTTGTGTGCTTCTGGACACTCAGCTTTCATCTCCTCCAGTGATTCCTTATATGCAGCAAGGAATGTGCAATGTGCCTAGCACAACTCCTATGATCTGCCAATGGTACCAAATCCTTTACTGCATTAATCAGCCCCTATAATCCATTTGAACAAGGTAAAAGTAATATAACTTTCATATTTCAGGAATGAAAAATATAATTTATGTATTATATTAGGTAGTTTAGTTACCTTTTCCTGGTCACTAATAAAGGTCCAACCCAGTCCATCCATGATTCCAAACTCTTCAAACAAAATATTCAAGAACCACTTCCAATTTTCCTCATTTTCAGAATCAATCACTGCCCATGCAATGGGATAAATCTGGTTGTTTGCATCCTTCCCCACAACAGTCAACAAACACCCTCCAATCACAGTCTTCAAAGAAGCTCCATCTAAACAAACTATTGGTCTGCACCCACTTAGAACCTCTTTTTTAATGCACTAAATCCCACAAAAAGCCCTTGAACACAGTACCTTCATCAAGTAGAAATTCAAACCGACCCTCTCTGTCAACTCTCAGTAGCTCAGCAAGATAACTCCTCAAACATGAGTAATGCTCCTCTTTTGTGCCTCTCAACATTTGTAGTGCTTTGTACTTGCCTTTGTACAACTTCCACTTGGATGGTTGCACAACATACTTCTCAAGTATCATCTCTTCAAGGTCTCCAATCTTCATTTTTGGTTTTCTCCTGAATGCCTGAAGGTATTCCTTTGCAATCCATTTTGCAGATGCTTGCCTGGTTCTCATGTCCCTAGAGCACTTGTGATCTGAAATCAATGTTTTGATGGTTACTCTTTCTTCTGCCTTTACAGTGCTAGCATACAACTTCCAAGGACATGACTCTATACACTTTGCCTTAATCTGATTAGGAGTTTGTCTCCATATCTGAATATTGTGACCATTATATATAGAATACTCTTGAATAACATGCCTAATTTGAGTGACTGACTCAAACTGCATACCAAGTTCAAACTTGAATTGATTATGGTCAACCTTGGCATCATACATGATCATATTTGTCTTCTTTTTCCTATGACTGACATCATCATCTCCACTAAACCCTCCTGAGCTTGAAGAATCAGAACAAACCTCTTCTGCTGAGTCTGCATAATCAGAATGATCTTCCCTCAGAGACAAGAATTCACTTTCATTTGTGGAACCCCACCCCTTTTCAGAAGATAATGTGAAATTTTCATTTTCTTCATCTGCAACTTTTTTGGATTCAACTCTTTTTCTCCTTCCTTCAAAGTATTCTTCATCATCAGTTCCTAATTCACCGGAATTAAGTCCATCTGATTCTGAACTTTCTTCTTCTGGAACATACTCCTCATCTGTGCTGTCCTCATGAAAATTATCAATAAGCTGGTCCAATTCTTCTCCACTAAGTTGACCAAGTGCATCTAATTCACAACTTTCTATTTCATCTAAACTGACACCATCTGATTCAGAACATTCTTCTACAATATACTCCTCATCTGTGCTATCCTCACAAACATTATCATCAGCAGCTTGTTGCACATCTGCTATGCCTTTTTGCTTATCATCACCTCTACTTTCATTTGTGGAACTAGAATCAACATATACTTGAACATAATGCCTGCCAGGTTCCATCATAGAAAGCATTTCCATGACACCCTCATCATTGTGCATGTGAACATACTTTCTACTGTTGTAAGCCCTATAATACAGTTTCTCTCCTTTAGTGTACCCTAATTTTTGAACTTCTTCTAATAAATCAAAATGACCAAATCTATCGTTGTCAAATCCATATCTTGAAGTGACCTCTTCTCCATAATACTCATAATCATTTCCAGCCTTTACCAACTGCCCACTGTGGTTTATAAAAAGCATCAAGTCACAACTGCATATATAACAATATAATTCCAAAATTAGGTTAATGCAAAACTGGTATAAGTACATATAAACATAAGTAAACCATTATATAATCCTAATTATGAGCTAATTAACAAAACCCTATACCCTAAATAGTGAATAATTATAAATCACTGCATATATAACAATGTAATTAGATAACTAGGTTAATGCAAAAGTAGGTTTAAGTACATATAAACATAATTAAATAAATATATAATCCTAATTATGGGTTAATTAACAAAACCTTAACCCTAACCCTAAACCCAAAAAAAACCCCTCATTTTCCAAAACAACTAACCTAATTTATTGACAACAGAAGAAAAAAAATAGTTCACAATCCTACCTGTTCGCCATTTTTGCAGCATCAAGTCGTCGGGGGACCACAACGAGAATAAGATAATCAGGTTTCCGGAAATTGGTAGACAAGAAAGATTTGATGAAATTTTTTATTGAGAGCGCAGAGAGAATCGTGGAACACGAGGAACGCGAAAGGATTTAGGGTTATGAAATGAATCTGATTTTGAATTTAAAATGTAATTGACCAAGAAACGACGTCGTTTTTGGGTGAGGTGGAAAAAAAAACTGATTTACCACGCCAGACAAAACGACGTCGTTTCTTGGTGAGGTGGAAAAAAAATGGATGGTAAATACAACTCAGCAATTGATGTGTCTTTTTGTTCGCCGCGTCAGATTTTTTTGAACAGGTGATGAGGTCCGTGTATCGTTTTGCAAGAAATTGAAGGCCGTGATATTCTGTGCAAAAGTCGAAAAGTCGTGATTAATTTGCGATCGCGATAAAGGTCGTGATATTATATTTTTCATATTACTAAGCATTTACTCGATATTGATGAAAGAAAAATCTAGATAATACTATGGTCGATTCTTTTCTATAAATGTGCGTGGAATTACATATCAAATGGAGTGTGTGTCTGTGTGTGTGTGTGTATAAAGGTCTGTTTTTACTTAAATCACATAGTAGTCAAATAAAATTTCTGAATAAAAATTTTAAGATAACATGTATTTTTGAAATTAATGAATATAATGTAACTTATTTTCAGTTACTTGCACCGTATGAGTCGTGTACTCATTTTAAATAGACATGTTTTATGTAATTTTGCACAATTTAAATATCATATAACATTTCAACAAACTAATATAGGTAAATTGCATTACATATTGATTCCATATTTCTCATTTATAAATATTATTTAATGAACATTTGTAATTTATAAATATTAATGAATATTTCTTACCCGTGCATCGCACGGGATTCGTACTAGTTTTTCATTAGAGGGTTTCAATTTTAAGTTATTGTCAATTAAAGGCTTGGTTTTACATTCTAGTTCTCAATTAAAGACATCAATTAACTTTATATTTTTACATAAATATGTAAACCAAAATACTACTTTTTTGAAATTTGTATTTGAATTATAAATATCTTTGGTACAATTACTTAAGTAAGTAAATTAATTCATTTAATCTAAATTAATTTTGCATAAATGTAATTTATTTGAATTAATTTTCTTACAAATATAGTTTTACAAATATATTTAATACTCTTATTATGGGTATTAATTTTATATATTCTTAACTTGTATAAAATATAAATTTTATTCAAAAATAATGTTTTCAATAATTAGTTTATTTTTAATGTTATCACATATTTAGATTAAAATTAACTTAAAAATTATTTTTTAACTTTTGAAATAAATTTCATTACGCTTTTGTATAAATGTAAAAATTATGAAATAATTATTTTATTAGGTAATTTTACTAAGATATTTAATATTTTTCATTATAAGTACTTAAAAGATAAATTTTAAACAAAAGTATTGTGGTTTACATAATTAGGTCAATATACAAAGTGATTGGAGCCTTAAATTGAAAAGTAGAATGTAAAAATAGGTTTTATATTAAGAATAACTTAAAAGTGAAACCCTCAATTCAATATAAAATTATATCTTATCTTTTTTCTCTCGGTCGAAATTTCTCTCTCTGCGTTCCCGATGAAAACCCTAGTTCCTGACAGACAATTTCGCTGCGATTAGCCTTCTCCGGCGAAGGGGCGGCTCAGGCCAGTGGTCACCCTCGACCGCTCGGCCGTCCCCGCCATCGCACCTCTTTCAATTTTGCTGCAACGGGTCGCTCTGATGTGTGCTCTGCCCGAGGTCGTCGGCAAGCTGTGACTGCGGTGGTGTTCGATCTGAGGCGGGTCGTTTCCCTAGAAGCCGACGGTCTTTGATTGGATGGTTAGCCACTCAATTGCATCGGGTCGATGTTTGGAGGTTCATCGGTTCAGGATGGGCTTCTGGGTTTGGATTTTGGGGCTCAAGCTCGCGATGGCAGCGGCCTGCGGTGGTGTTGGTAGACGTGTTGGTCGGCGGGTGGATCGAGGCTCCGGCGGCCGTGATGTATTCTGTCGGGGTACGGGTAGCTCTCTTTCCATCCGGTTCTCTGGTGTTGGGAACTTGGTGGGCCCAGCGCCTATTACCTCGGCTAGTGGTGTTAGGAGATCTTGTGCGGGGCTGTTGCAGGGAGCTGGTTATCCTCTCGGTCGAAGGTGGGTTGGTTCGAGTTAGTCTCGAGGTCCGGGTTTGGCTTTTATATAGGCGTTCGACAGCAGTTTCGGAAGTTGAGCCTTGGGCTTCGGACCTTTCTTGGCTTGATTGGTTCTCTACTGGTTCGATCTGCTTTATTTGCTGGGGAAGGGGACTATGTGTCGTCATTAGATGTTTTGTTGTTTTTTTTAGATTGTGTTTTTGTCTGTATTGTGTTGTCTGTGTTTGTGATTTTGTATCTGTGTCTGTGTTGTATTTGTGTTTTAGGTCTGGGCCGTTGGTCTATGTGCGTCCGAGTGTCACCTTTATTACCCTGTTGGGGCCCGACACTCGGTATTACCTTGTTGGGGCCTTTGTGTTGTTGTTTTTTATTGTGTTTTTTAGTGTTCTTGAGTTTTACCCCGTTGGGGTCAGTTCTAGGCGGGTTGTTGTCCTGTCCTCCCACTTTTTAGCTATTGGTTGTTTGTATTCAGCTGTTGGCTGTTTTGTAATCAGCTGGTGGCTGCTCTTTGCACATTTGTGCGTTTTATATAATATCTCTATCGTTCCGTAAAAAAAAAAAAAAAAAAAAAAAAAAAAAATAGAAACCCTCAATTGAAAAGGTTAAAAATTTGGACCCTATTATGACACAATACCCAAAAGTCAAGCCTACAATAGAATTTCTCCTAAATGAAATGTGATTAAAATTTCTTCCTATGGAGGAAATCATTAATGCCAACGCGCAAATTAAAATCACTTTATTGACAAGCTAATAATGGAGGCCGTGAAATTTTAAATTTATCTTATTCCATTAAGCACTTAATATTTTAGCTAATGGTTTTTCTAAGCATGTTTCTCTTAATTTTCTTGCACATAATACAATTAAATCAATTTAACACATGCATAATTAAAGGTAATAATAAACTAAGAAATTAAAATCAAACTATCATGGCCAATAATTAATTTCCAATCCTTCTTGGAAATGGGAAATCCTTGTCCCTGGAGAACTGCGTCCTTCCTTTCGGAGTTAGGATTCCTTTTTCATCGTGACTCCCACTTTACTTCTTGAACAAGCAACACGAGCTGGACCACCGTGTTCGCCGGAGAAGTTGTCGGGAAAAATTCTTGCCATCAGATTTATTCCATGTGGCGCCGCAATCATCGGGAAGACACCATTGCACAGCGTGATGCTCAGCCAGGTGACATCGGCGTGCATGCACTATGCACACGCTGTCTTGTCACTCACCCAACGAGCCAATGTTGGGCTTGGGTCTGTGCAAGGAGGGCACACACGACACTGCCTCTTTCGGAGTCCAGCTAGTACACGGTCGTCATGCCTCGACTACCGGTGCTGCGTGAGCTGCTGCGAACAAGTTGGCACGCTCGTTGCACCCGCTGCGCCTGGTATCATGGTGCTTGCGTCTCCTCGCCCTCCCGCTGTGGTCCGTGTGCTGCCGACCCAGCTTCGTGCATGCACGTTGAGCACTCCTTGGCTACACTCGCACTTGACAACAAGCTACCCGCGTGTGTACAACACCACTTCTGCCATCGACCACGGGTTAGCGGTTGGCTTGCCTCGTCTCGTCTGGGGATGCTGGTCATTGGTTTGATCGTCCGGGTTTCATCCATGTCCATTGGGTCAGATTGAATAATATAAAAAATTACATAATTCAACCTATGACCACGGTAGGGGCCGTACATTAATGGTCTAGTAAAGAAATTAAACTACTCGGTGTCCCACCGCACGAATAATTTATTACAAGCATTCACCTACCTAAAAAATTCCCCGACATCTCTAAGGCTTATAAAACATATATGAATTTATTAGTATATACATATATATATATATATATATATATATATATATATATATACACGTTCGGTCCACAATAGTTTGATTTAAGAACACCTGCAGATAATTTATCTGCAATTCTTATCTACTATGTGCTGCGCCCGTACACAAATAATTCATATATGCACATATGTCCTAATTCGAATGGTGCACAAAGATAAATTAAGCCTGGTCTCTGATACCAGTTGTTGGGTTCTATAATCTACCCTCCTTAAAAGATTTCTGTCCTCGGAAATTACAAAAGTACAAGAATAAAAAGAAAAAAGAGAAACTCAAAACATGAAGTTTGGATACTCCGTCTGAATCTTGTCCTCGCTCTCCCAAGTTGCATCGCTCTCGCCATGGCGGCTCCACTGGACTTTGACGACCGTCACCTCCCGGTTTCTCAACTGGTGGACCTTTCGGTCCAAAATGGCTACTGGTACCTCCTTGTAGGTCAGGTCCTACCCGACATGCAACTTGTAAAAGTTCACCACGTGCCCGGGGTCATGCACATATCTCGTTAACATTGAGACATGAAACACGTCTTGCCCTCCCGAGAGCTCCGGTGGTAGAGTCAACCGGTAGGCTAAGTCGCCGAACACAGTCTAGAATCT